AAAGTTTCATTTTCATTTCAATTGTTGTTAAGTGATTCTATTATAGGATAAATAAAATATAAGTGCCATAGGTTTTAAACGACTGAGATTTCTTCAGGACGCAGCAGATTTAACTCAAGGATAGATTGTTTAATACAAAAAGAAGTCCCAAAGAAACACATGTTCCACTGTTGCTTTTGCAACTGTTGAGCTCAAAGTGTAGGAGTGTACGTTCAGAATGAAACATGCTCAAACCAAATATTATGGATTTCAATTAACATTATTATTGAGCATATAAGCCTCTTGGAATAATGTATAGACATGGGACATAAAGACAGGGCTGTTTGGCCGTAGCATAGCAGGCATCTTTGAAACAGATCAAAAGACAGCTGTTTGGGCGAAAACCCCCAAACCAATTGTGACGGATGCTTTGGGATTGCTCCACTGAGCATCTCAATATCACTGACTCAACTATGAACCATCATTTCTAATACTGCAGGTCAAGCTGAAGCTGTCTGTCCCAAATAATAATTTCTAATATCAAGGGTATCCTTTTTTCCTCAGATGAAAACTGTTGATATTTTTGGTGAATACGTGATTTTAGAGGTAAATTTTCTTTTGACTGCATTCACAAACTCAATCTGGATGCACTGTTTCGCTAAGGTTTAAATGTTTGCATGTTGTCACAGTTATGACAACTGTCCCCATCAAGCTTCATTCAAACTATGCAAACTTCATATCAGACTTGTGAAGGTCAGCGCAGTTATAATCTTGACCCTGAAAAGAAGAGGTTACCATCAGATCTGGATCTTAATCTCATGACCAAATTAATTCTTTGACTGCTCTCATGAATTCAGGGCAACAAGTCAATGACTTCACATTTAGGTGCTGGCTTTTAGTCATAATCCCATCAGTCATACACTCAAATTGTAATTAGTAACACTAAGAATGGATGGCACGTTCCTCTATTAAACCCAAATCAATACTCACTTATCTGCACTGATTATTATGTCCATGTACTGTAGCTGTTATCTCTAAAGTAAATTATGCATAAATCAGAGCCTGGTAACACAGACTGCACACGTGTACATGTTATGTAACTAGACCATGCCAACTTCTTATTTTGATCCACATTGTAGTTCTTATGCACATGTGCCATTAACAATAATAATATGTGCTATTCTTCATGGAAGGTCAACAGGGAATTTTCCCTCAACGGCAGCTACATTAGCCTCTGCAGCTACGCTCAGGTCATACGGGTCTCTACATACACCTGTGAGGAATAGGTGTTCATCACCTCATCACCAGTGTATGAGTCCTTCACTGGACCACTTTGGTAAAGTTTTGTTTTGGTGGTGATCACACCCAATCCTATCACTATGCATTGTGACTGCTTCCATCATATCAACGTCAACAACTAGCTGTTCAAATGCTGTGTAATACTGCACTTCACACCTTTTGACAGGTGCCATTGCAAAGAAGTAATATTTTTCACTTCACTTGTGTTCATGTGCTGTAATTTGAAAGAAACATGGAAGCCAGTTTTTACTCTAGACGTTTAACAGCTGAGTGAGACGTTTGTGTTAAGCTCAGGAGACTCAACACATCAGCGAGCATCTTCACTATCAGATTTTCATACATTCTTTTTCATTGGTTAAAGTATTAATTTAAAATAAAAGAACATAATCATAGACAAAAAAATATTTTATTAAGTAGTTGATGAGTTTTTCACTTTATTCAAATGATTTCATTAGCTTGAAATCATGTGAGCTTCGTCTGTATTATTCGTTTATTAGAGGTTCGACTGCGATACATAATTTACTGTGATCAAAATTCAAGCCGTACCAGCCTTTAAAGCACTTAGTCACAAGAATAAACATCAGTCTCAGGTCCTGTCTGTCCTGTCAGAAATTACACTGAGATTATGAAGTTCAGTTTTCTTTCTTTATTCTTATCCAGGACACTACGGTTTCTGTTGGTGTGGATGGATGAGTGATGATGAGCTGAGGTTTGCAGCGTTTCCCTCACAAACACACACCAACGCACTCTCAGCCTCCTCCAGTTTATAATACAGGTTCAACCAAATATGACAAATGCTCAATTTTATAACCACCCTAAGGTCAAAATCAATTTGATTAACAACCCAGAGAACAAAATCCCTCACAGGTCCTATTGCCTAAATGTCCCTGATTTAACTAAAGCCTCAGCACTGTGTGCCTGCTTGCTTGCATCCTTGTCTGCCTCATTTGCAGGATTTGAGCTAAGCCTTTTAGCCCTGCTATAAAGTGATATGAGAGCTCTATGGCAGTTGGTGGCTTGCTAACTCACTTGAGTTGCTAAACCGCTTTTTGTCCAGTCGGTCAAAAGGAACAGGAGGCCTTTTAGGTCTACAGTTGAAAATCATATGTTCTTTGCTTGTACTAAAAGTAGTTCATACAAAAGTATGCCCCCTGCAAGTTTCTTCTCTGCAGTCTGCTTTTGATACAGTTAAAACAGTTAACTACAAAAAATAGATGCATGCTTGTGTATTTTCTCCATTTCTAATTTTGGCCCACTCTTCACAGCTTGGTCTCTATTTCTCTTCACCTCTGGCATGTGGTTGTTATTGAAGAAATTGCATTGTCTAAGAAGAAAGATGCACAAGCAAAAATAGCAGAACACTATTCACCTGGTATTTCATTGCACATCGCTGAAGCGGGATTATGGATTCTGATTGAGGCCGGATTATTGTCAGATAAACAAAACAATCAAAAAGCCACAGCGGTCAAAGAGAGCATATACTTAGTGACACAGGGAGGGCACCCTTGTTGCAGTGTGTCATAGCACAATCTGACAAATGTACAAGGAAACACTCAACAGCACAACTCTCAGCCCTGAGGCTCCGAGACAGGAAGCCAAGAAGTCAAGGAAAGTAGTGTCTGTGGTAACTGGTGCTCATCTTATTAAGTTAGATGAGTATAAATTGCTGTACAGCGGACAGTTGATACTTTTCGATAGATTCCAATGCAAGTAAGTGGAAGTAAGTGGAGTAGATCTATCTATCTGTATTATGCTCTGAAAAAAGTAAACTCTGTCATAAAACATGCTTGCATACATTTAGAAATGGTCAAATAGATAAAGACAAATCTTTCCCTTTGTGTGTAAGGTTAGTGTACATCTGTGTCTGTGACTGTGTGTTTTTATGACGTGAACTGTGAGCAGAGACTAGAATGTCAGGCAGGTTTACATTAGTCAGCAGATGCAGTGGGCCACATCATTAGTCACTCTGACACCCACTTCTGGCCCCTGTTTTATTGATGAGGCCAAGCTCAATATCTACCCCCAGTCTAAACACACAGACACAGACACACACATAACTTCCAAGTTGTTTTCACATTTGAACTCCAAAACTGCGTCAGGACATTCAAGGCTTGTTGTTGTCCAAAGTTGCCTCTTCGCACATGTAGCACACAACAGAGTGTTGGGTAGGAAGCAAGAGACTTGATGCCCACTTGCTCGCTGTGAATTTTTCATACGGTTACCTGCACACAGGCTCAACTGGACATTGCACGTATTAGGGGGCTTGGACACTAGCTTTTGGGGCTGCAGTGTATGGGAGTATGTGTGGGAGTGGCTGTACAGGAGAACACTTTGGCATTAAGTAGAAAGCTACAGGCACTCACTGCACGAGGGTAGAGGTTGTGACAGCAAACAACGTCCTACAGTTTGTCAGGAAATAAAATTATAATGATAAAATGTAATTCTATTTTCTAGAATGCAGTCTGTCTGTAGACCAAATATCCGATTCAGAATCAAATATCTGCTCAACAGCAGATCTTCTGGGCCGATTGTGAATGGCAAGGCACAATGACAGGGTGCCAAGTGTGTTATAGCAATGAGCTCAGAGCCATTTATGGCCTCCATGACGCTGACATTTAGCAGGATGCTGCAATTTGTCAGCCTCTCAGTCTGACTCACACATCCACAACAGGGGACACTCATAAAACACATTACCATTAGGCCTAATAGTGCTGCATCACATTACTCTGTGTGTGTGCCTCTGTGCGTTTGTGCTCTGTAAAATTAACAATATATGTGTAGTTCCTCTAACTGCCATTAAAATGACTGGTGGAAATACACGGTGACAAAAACCAACTAATACATCCTAGTGCACTGCATGTTCACCTCGATCAATCAAAACTAATTCATGATTGAGTGTATACAGTAACAACAACTCTGTACTGCAGGTTAATTAGCCATTCAGCCAACACTGGAAACGTGCATGGCTTTTAAAATTATTTGTTAATACCAACAATTATCTCTGCCTGTCACCTAAACACTAGTTTGACTCTTAGAACGAGAAAGCATTCGGATGTTTTACATCAGAGTCTTTGAACCACAAAGCACTTCGAGACCTACATCTAGTAACTTACAAAGAGCGGAGAAGGAAGGCTCTCATTGTTTCATTTAATTCTGAAAGTGCATTGATGCTAACCACAGGGCAAGTTGGAGAGGTCGGTAATGGTTTGCCATATTTCCCATCTAATACTTTGTCTTGCTGCTTTCAACTTTCCCCATCTCTCTGCATTTCTTGCTCTTTCTCTCTCTCCCTCTTATCAATGACGTATAAAAGGCAAGCAATGGCACAGCCATAATGGAGAGAGAACATCTTGATGGCTGCTCTTTCCCCAGAAGAATACCATCAGTAAAAGTACAGTGGACAAGTCTACTGAAAAGTGTCCTTTCCCTGTAGTTTCTTATCATCGTGCATAAAGTTTGCAAAGGATATCTTGGAAAGGGTGACTCAGACTTTGAAAGCAGTTATAGATTTCTGGGCCACAAAGTCAAGCAGACAATTCAAGTCAAATGATAATCAAACATTTACTGACACGGGTGCAAATAGACACGAAGACAAACTTGCAAATTCACGGGTACTTGCATTTACGAGTGTGCCCTTACACACACACACACACACACACACACACGCGCACACACACACAGCTCTCACAACCAGATAAAAGAGGTGTCTGTTCTGCTCTTACCCAAGTGTTGTCATAGTAACGATGGTGTACCAGAAGGAGGCTGGGATGCTGGTGAATTTGCTGGAGCTTGAACCCTTCTCTGCGTAGAACATGACGGTAGCAAAGATAATTATGGCCATAGTGAGGGAGAAGAGGAGGAAGCCCAGCTCCGAGGCACAGCTCTTCAGTGTGTAGCCCAGGATGCGAAGGCCCTGCGAGTGACGGGAGAACTTGAAGATACGGAACACGCGGAAAACACGGAGTGTCACGAAAGCACCGCTCACGTCCTCGTTGTCAGTCATCACCAGGCCAATGTAGTATGGTAAGATGGCCACCACATCGATGATGCTCATGACGGATCTCATGAAGCGGTAGCGGCTGGGTGCAGCAAACAAGCGCATCAGGTACTCCACGGTGAAGATCATAACACAGGCCGTGTCCATGCAGAAAAAGGCCACGGTGTAGCGCTCGCCACATGGCACTTCCTTCTGGTTGGGCGCTGAGCCACAGGGCACCGTCTCTACCACATTGGTAATGACAGAGACAGCAATGAAGAAACCAGTGACATAATAGAAGACAAGGGCCATGGTTGAAGTGTGAGGGTTTTCAAAAGCCCGCCACATAGTCTCCCTGAAGGTCATATTGGGCAGCTTGGCATCCTTGTTGTCCTCCTGGTCATCCATCAAACGCTCTGCATTCTCCCTCTTCCTGTCCTTGTACTCTTCGTAGCAGCAGTCACCGATGATCTCTGGGACAATGCCAAAGAAAGCCAGCTCCTCATCATAGGAAGATATGCACTCGTACCGTGGATAATGGAGCTTGCCTGTACGGTAGAAGTTGAGCACACTACGGAACACGTCGGGGTCCCGGTCAAAGAAGTATTCTTTGGTCTCCTCGTTGTAGAAGAATTCCTTCTCTGAGCTGCCCAGCAGTGTGTCTGGATAGCGGTCCAGAGTGTTCCTCCAGGTCTGGAAACGGCGTCCACTCACATTAAGAATGATGAGCTCATCCTGCCTCTTGTTCTTTTCAGCAGGTGCTACTGGCATGGGCAAATTGGCCACAGGCATCCAGCCTATGGCTGCTGCCCGGGCAAAGGGAAGCCATGCCGCTACTCCCGCCGCCATGCTGTGTCCGGCTTGGGGTGTAGGGGGGAAGAAGTCGAGCACCTTCACAACCAGCTTGACTTCAGCTCATTTACCAGCTAAAGAGAAGAAAGGGAGGGAGTGTATGAGGATAGGTAGCACATGGGTGCTGTTTTAATCCTCACAGGCAAGGAGAGTGAGATCAGTAGATCAGAAAACAGAAAAAAGGAAGAAAATATGAGACACTTGAATCTTAAGAATGTAGGGGAAAAGGACAAATGGTGAGCTAGTGAAATAAAAAGATGTGAACATAACAAAACAATGTATACAAAATAAACAGCACAACTAATTGTAACAAGGCAGGCAAGCAGAGGAAACAAAAGATATCTTGATAAAATGAAAATTAAATTAAACATCGCACTCATTTATACATTTGTACAAAATGTATTTCTATTTCATATACTGAGCTTTAATGTGATCACTGACTGCAATAAGCATGGTCTTTCTCAAGGCTAAATTCCTCACCCTCTGTAGAGGTACTGGTTAAGCAGCAGCCTTCTGTTGACAGTTTACTGCATCTTACAGGTTACAAACTAAAAACAGGAAAAAAATAACATCGCAAAACAGCCTAAACTGCTCCATTTTTTAAGCGTGGGTTTGGTCGCCTTAAAAGTGATCCAGGATAGTCGAGACCTGTTGAGTTTCAAGTAGAAAAAAAACAGTAGATGCATCTTTATTTTACTCAAGATGAGTCAAACTACTTCATGATCGCTCAGATCAAATTCACCATCGTATCAATAGCGCTGATGAACCAATCAGTCTTCATGGCTAACCGAAGACGCAATATGTTAAAGCGGAATGATTTCCCGAACTGCCCGAGAACAAAAAAAAAAGAAAGAGAGAGAAAGAAAGAAAGCAAACATCGCAGGCTTGTATTCGCAGCTTCGTGCTGACTGTAGTGGTTGATTAATGTAGAACTCACCGACTCAAAATTCTCCATCCACACAAACACGACCTTCTTCCAGGGCAGTTTAGTGGCAAGTCGTAGGTTTTGGTTATTTCTCAGAGCGTGTCTGGAAAAAATAAATAAATAAATAAGAAGAAGAAAAGAAAAGAAAAATACCAGGAAAGAAGTTATTCTGCGAAGAGGAGAACCACAGGAGACACACACTACAGCTGATGGGGGAAGCGGAAAAGTACCGGTGACGGACGTACCACAGCTGCTTTCATTCAGTTTCCATTATGCGAGGGGAGAAATGATGAGAGGACTCCGCCGTGAGGACCGTATTACCTTGGCTTTCGGGATGAGTATTGGGAAGAGGAACGAAGGAGGAGGAGGAGCGCTCTTTCTCTCGCTCTCCCTCTCTCTCTCTCTGCGCAGGGCGGATTGTGAACCAAAACTGCATTTAAGGGAAGCTGGATCAGGATTTAGAACCATGCGCAGAAAATAAATATATAAACGTCAGACCGCTTTCTTCTCCTTACACGAATGCTGTTCTTATTGTACAGTGTGCGTGTGCTCTGCTGAACCAATGTTATTCCCACACACAGCACTAAAGGCAAGTGCTATCAGCTGAGTTATCCACAGGATTCATCCCAGCAGAGGCATATAAGAATCCACAGGAGGCCAGAAAAGAGCGCAATGGATCAACTTTGTCTTTAATTAAAGCACCAGAGGACTATTACTATTCTTCGCACAAACAAGCTGGAAACATCGATACGATGTCACCGATTAAGTGGAAAACCAGCTGGTAAATAGTTGCCTTATTACGTCACATATAGTACTGTGCAAAAGTCTTGAGTCACCCTTCATTTCTTCACATTTTGCAAGTGAGAAAAACGAGTGTGATCGTGTTTATTCTTCAACACTGTTCTTCGTGTTTTTCTCTTTTTTGAGGGACATTCAGAGCTCCTTTTTGGATGTTGGCTGCCTTTGGTTTTGTTCTCTGTCAAGGTGATCCCGTCCTGCTTCAGTAATATTGAACTCACAGGTTCTGGCGAGGCCAATCCATGAATGATAGTTTTTCATTTTAGAGTTTTCCATCCAGGCATGCTTTTGCTGCATTGTCATGCTGAAAATGGAGCAACTGCCAATCAGATACTTTGCAGTTGGCATTGTATGGCGGATCAAAGTCAGATGGGGCTTTCAGTGTTCATAATCCATCAGTTCTGACAAGATTCCCGACATCGCTGGCTGAAAAGGAGCCCTACAATATGACAGACCCTCCGCTGTGTTTGACAGATTACTTTAGCCACTCACTGTTGTACCTCTCTCCTGACCTCTTCCGTACATATTGAATTTTAAAATTTGAATCCATCACTCTGTAAGACCTGTTGCCACTGATTTTCAGTCAAGTTATTGTGTAATTTTGTATACCTCAGCTTCTGCACATTTTCCCCTTCCTAAAGAATGGCTTTGTGACAGCTACCCTTGCACTGAGACCATTTCTGATGAGGTTTCAGCGAACAGTCGATGGATCAACTGAAGGTCTAGATGCATGTCTCGTGTCCTGTGTCAGCTCTTTGCTGGATTTTCTTTCCTATTTCTTCAAGACTTGACTTTCAGATACTGTCTACAATCTGCTGTAGATCATTAAAAACAAAAAAAGTATTTATTTTGATCTCTAATTGTCCAGTTCATTTTTTTATATATATATATTTTTTAAAAATCAGCAAAACCGTTTGTTGGTGCAGGAATACTATTTTATGTCTATTAAACTTTGCTGTCTTTTGAATTTTTCATAGATTGAGCTTAAGAAATGGAGAAAAATCTGAGTTTCTAGTAAACTTCTGTTTCCAAAGACCTTAAAGACACAATTAAAAATTTGTTTGTTATGTGTAGACACAACACTGGTTAAAAGCATGGTGCCTTTTTGTCCCAGGATGATTCATAGTCAAGTGTTAAGAGGCTTAACAAACAAGAAAACTATTGTTCTGTAAGTGTTCAGGTACAAGGACTGGACTGAAAATGAGTGACAAAACAGCCAGTGTTAAAACTTTGCAAGACCTCCAAACCAATAAGAAAAATAAAAAGAAATTCAATTATATTTTATTTATATAGCGTCAAATCACAACAACAGTCGCCTCAAGGTGCTTTATATTGCACAGTAGATCCTACAATAATGGATACAGAGAAAAAGCCAGCAATCATATGACCCCCTATGAGCAAGCACTTTGGCGACAGTGGGAAGGAAAAACTCCTTTTTAACAGGAAGAAACCTCCGGCA